CTTGTTTTAAAATGTTAGCAGTAATGAATGATTTAAATTTGAAAAGGTCAGAAAAACGTGATTTGTAAGTTTTCACTGGGGATTTTGCACAGACCTGACTGTTATATTGCCTGTTTTCTTCAGCATTGATAACAGTTGCAAGTGACACCTTTTACCTTTCCATTTTGAAGTCCCTCCAGTATAATTTATTTTTGGAAAGCTTTGTATAAGGTGTTTTGGCAGGAAAGATCCCAAATACCAAAATGCAGCACTTTTTTTGGTGAGCAGGCAGCAATCCCGTGTTGCCGGTTTCTCACATTTGTAAACGGTGTCTCAAAATCTCAGAAGTCCCGGGGTTGGCTTGAAAATTCATTTTTCTTTTTTGTTTGTGTTTATTTCTTTATTTCCTTCTTCTTTTTTTTTTTTTTTTTTTTTTTCTCCTAATGGAATGCTATTCTGAAGTCAATCTGCCCCTTGAAGGGGTTACTTACATCTATAAAATATATATCTCGCTATATAAACATACATAAATTTACATCTATAAAAGAAAGGCTTTTTAAAAAAAGAAGGAAGGAAGGAAAGGATAACCAAGATTCTTGACAAAGGCAAGAAACCATCTCACAGAAAGGTGCAGGTTTCAGAAATTCACAAAACACTGTAATATCTGAAGAATCTGCAGGAGAGGAAATCAAGACATCAAGCAATATAAGTGAAGCAGAGCCCCACGGTATCCTGCGCCTTTGGGTCTTTAATGATCATTCAGAGCACAAGAGTTCAGACTTATTTTCAGCTGAAAGGTCTTAATATTAATACTTAGTGCCCGGTTTTCTTATTTTGGCTGGTTAAATGTAGAAATTGTTCATGCCTGACTTCAAAGAATTGGTCCCCAGGTACTTTGGCAGCTTGTAGTGAAGTTTGTGTCATACTTGTAGCATTCAGCATTGTCCACTGAATTGAAATTATTATGTTATTAATGTAAAATGTATTATATAATTGTAAATATTTAATATGTGTATGTTACATCCGACACTTCCCACTGCAAACCCTATTTTCAGTTAGTTATAACTTCTCATACTTCTAATGATTTGACACGAAATTTTCCGTGCCAGGTGTCTGCCTCAGGCAGAATTTTGTGGTGTTCTATGGTGTGTTTGTTTTTTTCCCCCTTCTTTTAATGTCAGCCAAAGCAGCTCAGCTATTTCTGTGAGAAGCCAGCTAGGGAAAACCATGCAAAATAAACCTGGGAGCCTTTTGGAAAGGAACTGGTGTGTCCTTATCCCGGGGGAAGGCACTTAACCTTTGTCAAAGGTGCGAGTTTCTTTTGGATACCTGGATTCAGTTGGTGGGTTCAGATGGAAAAACCTGCCAGGAGGTGGGTGAACAATGAATGTTTTAGAGAACACAATTCACCTCGTGCTCCCACAGACCTGTTGGAATATGATGCTCAGTATGACCTGGAGCTTTCAGCTCCAAACCAAAAGCACCCTGATGTGTGTTTGTGCCCCCCCAAAAACAAGAGCAGCTCCTTCCAGCCCCAGTCAGAAAACACCAAACTGCTGGTAGAAAAAGAAAGGTGATTTATTTCAGCCATCTTTTCCCCCTTTATGTTCATGGTTCATCTTTATCCTGCTCATGTTAAACACACTTAGCACTTAATACCTATTTGTGCTTCTAATTCCTGAAATAGGTTTGTGAAGGACTATTGGGAAAAGGAGATTTAATCACTAAATTTTAAGGCTAAAGGCAGGACTAAGCTTTTCCTTACTTTTCTCTCTTAATGGTTTTAGCGCAAGATACCTTCAAATTCAAGCTTACTGCCACGTTATGGAAATAGGGAATCTTCCTTTTTCTCTTGGTGGGTAGCACATACCTGCCTTGCCTCCTGTTCTCCAACATCTGTCTCGGATCTGGAAGCCCCTGCACAGAGCCTGAGACTGCAGCAGTGTCCTTTCCTCGTGCTGGGAAGCCACAATCCATCCCCCAAGAGCGTGGTTTTACTTGGTGGTGTCCCAAGAGGCTGTTTTACACCCTGCTTCTTCCACCTACCCAGAAGCTGCAGATCAGTTTGTCAGAACAATGCAATAGATTTAAGATTTTATCATAACCGAAGTGAAACCACACGGTTATGATTTCTGATAATTCAGAGATGAATATTTTCAGTTTGAATATTGCATCTATTTAAATATTCAGAAATTATTATAATTTAGTTTGAATATGTCATCTTGTAGTGATATTCATACCTTACAAAATACCCAACAACCATTTTTATAGTAAAAATTTCTGCCATTTCTCTGTGTCTTGATGCTCTGGGGACCAGAGCAATTTCTAGGGAATTTGTAAGCACATTAAATCTAGGGTTGGGTTTTTTTTTTTTTTTTAACATTTCCTAAATTCTTAAATACCTGTAAATGAGTATCTGAATTATATTACCTATTAAATGACACCCATTGCACATCTCTATAATTCATAAAATCCTACAGTGAGTGCATAGTCGATATAGATAGAAACAAGACCAAGAATTAGATTTGTTCAGCAAAACCTCGATTGCTGTATCACAACCTTTTTACTACAGCATTCAGCTCGAAGATGTTTGCATACCTTATTGAGCAAGCTGCATATTTTTGCAGCGTGTGTATCCAGTGTGTACCCTGTAGTCATTACATTTTTGCACACTCCACTGCCTGAGCTGCATGAACTATTTTAACTATCACCAGGAACACTTGACGGAGTTCAGCTGCTCATTTGAGTGCTTCGGTTTGTGTGCTTTATGACTTCAGTGGTGTGTGTTGATAAAGTTCTGCTCTGTGCTGTTACATTTTTGGTTCTGCCAATCTCACCCCGTGCCATGCTGAGAGAATCGCACGCGCTGCTAACTGCTCGCCCCGCGCTGAACGCGTGGCCTTGAAATGTTATAATCTGCACTGTTTTGTTAAATGAGCTGCATATTTTTGTTTTTATATACATTGCTTACCCAGTTGTGTACATTTGCCCAACTCATTATACAAAATAAGCTTGATTGGAATAAGAACATTCTCTACCAGCTGTCTGCTCTGAGTCAGTATGCAACGAAATTAGCAACTTTCTCTTTCCAACAGTGACATGATTGCATCCAAAGTTTAAGGCAATTGGTTTGGAGATCTTGTTTGTTTCATTCACTCCATGCAAACATCAAGATTAACAAACCAATTTGTTGCAACTTAATTTGTTTTCACAAATATGAGCGGAGTTAAGTAACAGAGGAAAATCTGGGCATTCTAATACAGGGAAATGCTTCCATGTAGAGCATGAACCGTAGAGGGACCTAAATACCAATGTTGAACTCAGAGCCATTCATTGTAAACATGAGAAGATGGAAAATAGCTAGAGACCTCCCCAGGTGGATATTTCGTCAGATAAGCGATATCCTAAGTACTTAAAATTGCAAACATAACGTTTTGTAAACTAAGTGCATGTTTTCATCTGGAGTTATACAAATAGATTCACCTCATGACCATTGGAAAATCTCAAAATACATGAAACCTCATGTGCAGGCATCTGTAGTTTTCTTATTACCTTTGGTGCAAAATTGTATTAACATCTTCAAGAAAGTGTTTTTCTCAACTTGCTAGTTTTTCAAGTCAGTTCCAGTCAAAACTAAAGGTTATTTTTAGACTTTGTTTTGACTAATTTGTGGAGTTTGCACACATAGAAGTTTGTGCTCCCATTTACAAAATCTTCAGCACTATCTTACCTCAAAGAAACTTGATTAATTTTTCTTGAGTACAGAGCTACTTCCTCAGTGCTGTGTGGTTTACTTGGCTCCCTGCCTGCCCCACCATGTAAGTGTAGATGTGCCTGGTTCCTGCTGTCCATGTCCCACTGCTGATTGCTTTCACCTGAATCTTATCATTCACTGTTGCCTCAGCAGACTGCTTGGAAGGTCCAGACTGGTTTTTGCAAAGTTTTACACATGATAGTTTAATTGATCTTATTGTTTCAGTCAAAATTGCCTGATTTTGGTCAGTGTACATTTAGTTCTCAGGCTTCTCATGAACCCTTGTGTAAGAATGCAAAAATCACAATAGGTTGTTCTAAAAGGACATGTGTGAATGTATTTAGTGATCTGTCTTCACTGCTACCTGCTTTAGTCTTCATATTTTGGTTTTTCTGAGGGCATTAATATGGGGTATCAAAAGAGTATGACAAATAAGGAATATTGCCTTTACCACCTGAAAAGTCAATGTACCACGTGAGATGAGCCAGATCCAATTTAGATTTTCTTAACAGAAACAGAATAAGTAACTTTGTATAAAATGACTTAGAGCAGACAGATGGTAAGGAAGAAGGTTTTGTCTCTGTTTTCTCTTGTCTTCCCCCTGCATGAATTTCCTTTCAGTATCAGTCCATTACCCTTAAAGATCTAAATTTTGCTCTTCCCTTGATCTGTTAGATAGCAGCTAAAGTTTTAGTGTAAATTAAGATCAGATTTGGATTATTTTCTTCTTCTCTATCATGTTCAAACAATTGGTGGCTATGTGCAGTTTCTGTGTAGGTATCCTGTACACTTTTTATAGAGCAAAATTCTTCCTTCTTTATTTTTTTTTCTTTTTTTTTAAACTGATGCTGTGTGAAGCCTAAGCAGGTTGAGGGACTGAGTGCACCATTGGTTAGTTTGCAGATGACACTAATTTGGATGGGAGTGTTCACTGCAGCAAACTGGACTTGCTTTACTGTTTTCAGATCTGAGCAACCTATTTCTTTATGTGGCTAGGATGCCTACTGACAAATCAGCATACTAAATAAAAACATACATTTCACATGTATAAATGCAGTGTAAAACAACACAGACAATTTAAATTCTTGGAACAGATAGGGTATTCATTATCTAAGATCTATTGAGAGTAATAATAATTCATAAGATGCACATCTATTTCGTATATTATCTCTGTATATTTTTATGCAGCTGATACAGGCAGCACACATAGAAACTCTTTGAGATTTTATACCTGATCTCTTTTCTTTTCCTTTTTTTTCCCTCCCAGAGAGTAATTTTCAATGTTGTCAACTTCAGTAAAACCAAAAGCCTCTACAGAGATGGGATGGCTCCAATGGTGAAATCCACAAGCAGACCAAAATGGTAAGTTATACTCTCAAAGACTTGCTTTATGAGATAAAAGTGTTGTACTTGACACCTGTAGCAAAGACCTGTGGTGCACCTTTAGGTGAGAGCATGAGAAACCTGATACTGCAGCGTTGTGAGCACGGGTTCTCTCTGGAGCAGATGGACAGTAGGAATTCTGGAGGCCCCTTCCAGCCTTTCTGCTCTGGTGTGTTGTTTCAAGTAGCATCACTGAACTGAAATCCATTCAAGCAAACTGAACAGTCAAGGCTTGGGCCAAATTGTTTTCCAGTGACTGTCCAATAGTCAGGACAGTCCCTGTCCCAGTTTTGGCCTGTATCAGCTACAAGCCCAAAAAAGCTTGCAAACAGTCTGGGAGACGGAATGGGGCTGGACTGGTTTTGAAAAGCAGCCTGGGATTGTCCTCCCTGTTTTGGGGTGGTTGGAGTGTGATAGGGGAATGTGAGCTCTGCCGTGGGAGTTGGCCTCACGTGAGTAAGCAGTGCCTGGTCTGAGACAGAAGGAGGCCAATCGACCTCCTCCTTAAGCTACATAATAAATACGAAATGGAAAGCCATGTGCATATTAAACACGTGAATACCCATATAGATGGTACATTTTCTCAAAGCAAATGTAATGAAACATCTCCTGTGAATAATAATATGTAAATCTGGTGAGTCCGAATGCGTGCAAGGCTCCCAAGAATTATCTGGTTTGCCTTTGCCAGGAGACTTGTTTGAATATGGATAGTGAGGTTAGGCCAGAAGTGTACAGTGAGGGATTCTTGTCAGCCTTCACAGCTGCTGCTTTTTATTGGTTAATTAATAATACATTTAATCAAGCTGGCCATTCTCAGAGCCTTACGAATATGTCTTTCTTAAATGCTTCAAATGTCACAAATTTCCACTCACAAGCTGGTAACTTTTGGTGGTCATGAGACTGTTGTTATTGTGTGGCTTCCTCTTCACGGGACCAACAGGATGGATATTTGGCTTTTTGTCTAGATGTTAAGGTGGTGTGGACAGAAGAGCTGTCTCTCAGTACAGTTAGTGGATTGAGTCAATTCCAGCTCAATAGGAACATGTAATAACATTGAAAATTAATTAAAAAAATCCATGGCGTTTAGTGTTTTTGTAGCAAAAGTCATGTTAATTGTGTTTACCGCTTAACTTCAGAAAAATCTTTTGGGGCATTTCAGGGCCACATTTATCAAGCACACTTTAATCATCTTTCCAAACCTTTTCCTTCTCTCACTGGGGTCTGGTATTTGCAGCTAAGTATATTGTGTTTTAACTTTATCTATAAATCAGATATTGCTTTCATACAAATTTTATGCCTTACTTTGGTTTCAAATTAAAGTGTAAATCTTGCAAAACAATGCAAAATGGACTTATGTTTTTGGAACATATAGGCTCCTCACTATTTTTAAAACTGATTTCTCTTCCATTTCCCCGGAGATCTATTTATTTTTGTGTTTTATATTTTTAGAGGTTGTATTTTGCTCCCATGAAAGCGAGGAATGAATAACATTGCCTGGAGCCAGGCACAGTGTAGGCAGCAGGTGCTGAGCAGCTTCCTTTTACAGGGCTACTACCATACTTTAATCCTGTTTCAAAAATTCAAGATGTAATTTTTTTTTTCTTGAAAAAGATGATTATTCTATTAAGATATTTTTATTTTTTTTCTAATAGTCTGCATATGAAAACATCTTGCTCTCCTTTGAAGGTGCACATTAATTCATCCCGTTATCAGGGACCTTGGTGATATTGGGGTCTACTCAGTATAATTTTCTGTCTTGATGTTAATAGGATTCAGGCATGTGTTTTCCAAGTGGGAAAACATTATTTTTGGATATGTGAGTTCTATTAGGGCTGTCTTCCATTTGGATTATGCCTTTCACAGTTACCTCTGTATCTGTTTCCATGGCATTCTAGTGAAACCTGTAAACAAAATTTTCTCTTTCTCAGTTGGCTGAAACAGGATTTACTGGTCCTTGCAGCTGCTATTGCAGCACACAGGTAGTTGTGGTCCTTGAACATGAACAGGGCAATATCCAGCTGCATCGATTCGATCCCCTCTGATGTTTTGTATCTGTTAGTCTTGTAAGCAATAGCGAATCCTTCAGTGCTGCAAAAGTGCTGAGCTTTACACGAGGGTAGGAAGGAGTGGAAGGAAACTATTGAAACTCTCCACCTCATATTGGGATTTATGTCAGCCTAGCAGGTTTAGTGGACATAATGGAATTAAATTAGAAAATGATATATTCATTACAAAAAGCTGAAGAAACACTAAATGTTTTAAAATCAAGTTAAAAAGGATGGTTACCAGAAGCCATGGGCTCCGAATAGTCTGTAGCTCAGCCTTCGTTTCTGAACTCCTCTGTCTGAAATACTTGAGGGATCCATCATTATTGTACCTGCCTATGTTCCATACCTAAATTTACCCAACTTCCTCTGGCCACACTGGCAGATGGAATTCTGCCTCACACATAACTAGTCCACTCCCCTTTTTAAATAATCAAGTTTGAGTTTTAAGTGATAAAGTGTCCTTTTTGCATTTGAGAGATGCAGGAACATTGCTCCTCTCAGTAACAGATACCCAAGCCTGAGTTATGCCCTTTTGAATTATATGAGAAACTTCCCACTGTTTTCAGGCTAAGAATTTGACCATATTGCTCCCCTAACCCTGCATATCAAAAGTAGATTGTCCTCCAGAGACTGAATGTTAATGTTTGTTTTGAGTGTGGTTATGCAAACATGGCTCCGAGCTCTGCAGCGTTCTGTGAGTTTGATCCTTGACTGGGGAACAAATCGCTGCCAAGTGCTCTTGAAGTAGAGAGTGTGTCAAACAGAGATCAACGTTTTTGACCTGTATTCTCTTGCCCTGTGGGGTAAGATCTTTAAATGCAGACAGCATCAAGGTTCAGCTCAGTGTTACTGATGTAAATGGAGTATATCACTGTCATCAAAGCGCTCTGTGTGGACACAGATGTTCTGGTGTTGACATATTCTTCTCTTTTGAAGTAAGGCCAAACGTTTCCAGTAATGAGCTACTGGAAAAGAGGAAGCAGTATGTTGAAGGATAAGGAAAAAAAACCAGGTTTCATGGTAAAGAAAAAAGATTAAAAAAAAAAAAAAAAAAAAGGAAAAAAAACCACTGAAAAGTAAATTCTGATTAAAGTAATATAGGTTGTCCCCATGCATGGTCATGAACACTAAATAGTACAGGGTTGTGTCTGTTTTATCAGTCAAATTTTGCTGCATTGAATGACAGCTCGTATATAGAAATACAGCGTTGTGTCACACCATGTGATATCAGCTGCTTTCCATAGCAAGATGAAACTCAAGATTTTATTACAAACCGAGGGAATGGTTCATGTCTGGTCACTTTAGCACTTTGCTTGAAATTAGCTGGTTGTTCAGATATACTGCACTGAGATTTTAGAGAATTAGTGGGTTTTTTTAAATCAAAAATTAATGTATATATAATATATAAAAGCTCAATATCACAGGGACCTCTTCTGATTTGCCTGTGTCTGGGTGGTTTTTTTTGTCTGTTTAGCAGAAGTAGAAGAACTTGAATGGAGATGGATTTGAGGACATTAAATTTTTGCTGTGTTTATGGACTTCCTACTATAATCTTATTTTTCTTTGTGGCTTCATTTAAGTGCAAGATTATTTTGCTACTGTTTCTTAATCATGATTTTACACTAAAAGCTCTGTCTCTGGAAGGTGTTAGTAAAGCCAACCACGTGGCAGGGCAGTGGAAGCCCATCCAAGTACATATGCCATACTATTATATCGATTGCGTGAAGTTTTACAAGTTTCTCAAAGTTAAATAGAAGAGTGAGTTGTTCGAGAGGCAGCAGATTTTCCAAATGATGAAGTGAGCAAATATTCCCTTTGGGCAGAGAGCAGCTATAACTCTTGATTATTCAGTGTGAGCATTGCCTCATTGGGGACATTAGTTTTTCAAATTGTGCTAATCTTTTAAAAGTAACAACTGGCCACTCATCACCTTAGGTATTTCAGCAAGATCATGTGCAAAACTCTAATTAGTATTTATAGAACAGCAACTCCTCCCAGTAGAATAGTAGCAGTAGCTGGCAAATATCTGGTTGACACCTGTTAAGTCTTCAGACATCCATTGTATTTTATTCTGCATTTCAAATGAGCAGAGAGCAGTAGGTGAAGTCCCCATAATTAAGGGATAAAGGATAATAAATAACGTGGCTCTTGAGTGGATGAACACAAGGTTAAAGGCTGCTCTGCAGTTGCCACGCCGCACTTCAGGAGGTGTTTGTTTGTATATAATAACGCTCGCTAAAATATTATGGAGCCCTCAGCAGATGAGCGAGGATTTATGTCTAGATTTACATGTGTTTTGTTTTAATGTCAGATTTCAAACTGCTTCTTGGCAAAGCAGCTGCTTTCTTCCCTGTCTTTTATCTCACTCGGCACTGATGGCTTTTAACTGGATAGCACCCTTCCCCAGCAAGCACTCTGCTACCTCTGTTGCTATAACATCTACCGTTAAATACTCACAGCACATTGCTTCTGAAGTGTTTTTCTTTCCCACTAAACCTGGAAGTACAGAAAAACTTCTGGGTAATTAATTCAAATTTGAATCTGTATGTATCTTGGTAAATATTGTCATGATGAGGAATTTTGGTAGACATCAAGAAAAGCAATGTAAGTTTTATGAACAATACTCCCATATGTTCCATTCATCAGAAGGGGACAAGTCTGAGAAAATCTGAATTTTGAGTAGCTAAAATGTGTTGCTTCTTGCCAAGTTTCTTTAACATTTGTGTCTACAATGCAGTGTTACAATCACTACCATGTCTACCAGGCTGCATTATACATTCAGAGACTTTCAGCAGCATTTTTAGTATGTATTTATATATCTTTAGCCATAAGATAAGCTGTTTGTGAAATGAGCTGTCATTTGTGGTGAAACAGTTTGAGAATAAAGCACTCAATATATATATAGCTTGCTAATCTGAAAGACTATAGTTG